GGAGGGAAATTATATAATAAAAAACTATAATTAGATAAATAAAGTAAGGTTAAGAATAATAATATATAAGAAATTTAAAATAAAATTTACTTTAAAGTCGATCGACTTTTTAATATTAAATCCGCAATAGGAATCTTAATAGCGGTAAATTTAATACTTACTACTTTAATAAATAATAGTATCGTAATTAATAATATAATACTATTTAATTAATTTAGTTAATTCTAATTAGTTATAATAATAATAGCGGTCAAAATATATAAATTAAAATTAAAAAAGGTAGTTATTTAAGGAAGGAGGAAGAAGGTAGGGTAGTTAGGCGAAATTTTATAAAATTATTAGTACAAAGAATATAATTGGTATAGGTTACTTATAATCGGTTAACAGGGTTAGTAAGGGGGTAATAAAAGTAAACTAATTAGTTAGTACTCGTTTATATACTTAGATTAAGTATGGTAGCCCGCTACACCTATTTGAATAAAACTAAATCGACTGAGAAAAAGCGGTATTGAATCCGATCATAATCTTGCTACCTTTGATAGGGGTAAAATTGACTATAACACTGCAATGCTATGCTTTCCGGCAAGCGATCCCGGCGCCGGCCAATCTGCCAATAGTAGCTCTAGCACCTCCTAGCTGCGGTTATGATTCCAATCTCCAGTGAAACCATTGGCCGTATTGTTGGTGCTGGTAGTGACCGTGGTAGTCGCGGCGTACAGCGACTATCTAGGACGTTACTACCGCTTTTTCTCGATCAATTTAGTTTTGCTTAAATAAGTGTAGTAGGCTACTATACTTAATTTAGGTATATAAGCGAGTGTTAACCAATTGGTTTACTCTTGCCACCACCCTACCAACCCCGCCAACCGATTGTAAATAACCTATACTAGCCGTATTCCCCATACTAGTAATCTTATAGAATTTCGCCTAATTACCCTACCTCCTTCCTCCTTTCTCAAATAACTACTTTTCTCAATTCTAACTCGTATACTCTAACTACCATTATTACTATAATCAATTAGAATCAATTAAATCAATTAAATAATATTATATTATTAATTACGATACTATTATTTATTAAAGAAGTAAATATTAAATTTACCGCTATTAAAATTCCTATTGCAAGTTCAATATTAAAAAGTCGACCGACTTTAAAGTGAATTCTATTTTAAATCTTTTATATTATTACTACTAACCCTACTTTATTTCTTTAACTATAGCTTTTTGTCGTATAACTTCCCTCCCTACCCTTGCAGAAACCTAGGTTTTATAAATTGATGAAATATTATTAAGTTTATTTTATTCATCTTCATTGTTATTATCTTTTTCATCCTTTAATACCTCCTTTTTGTTATTTGATTTAAACGTTCCGCCGTAATAGCGAACGTTCTATAATACTATTACTAAATGGTTAAAACCTAATAAAGAAATTAAGCCCCTCTATAAGCGATTTAAATACTAATAATATAATTATCCCCCTCCTAAGAAGAAGGTTAAATATAATTACAATCGTAAAGTTAAGATTCTTATACTTGATTACTTTCTTTATTATTTCGTCGATACGGAATTAATTATAAGTTATAAACTACGCGTTAGAAGGATTACCGTATTAAAAATTAATGTTATTATTAATAGAAAGGAATAATCACCCTTATTAAATAAATACCGGCTATTCTATTACGAAGTAGCAGAGTATTTTAAAATCCTATATTCGACTATTTAATATTGGTAGACGAAAAGAAACCTAATTATTTATAGTATTCTATATTCTTTCCAACTAAAGTTTCCCGAATTAGAAAAGAAATTATTCGCTAACTTCCTCGAGAAATAAAGAAAGGACGAGTTTATACGCATCGGCTAATTTAAATTAAAATTTAAGTACATTTTCTATAAATTTACTAAACGACTTTATACGGTCTTTTTATTTACGACCGGTTAATATAGGGGGTTTATACGCCGTGATAATATTATACTTCGTCGGGTTATATAATAATCTTTAAAATTACTACAAGATTACTTTTATTTAATTATTAGTTTCTTTAAATTTGTACGTAGGAATATTGTCCTACTTATAACGCTATTTATTAATTGTTTAATTTATAGCCCCCCTACCCCCCGTAAAGTAAGTATTTTATATTATATTTTTCTTATTATTAATTAACTTCCCCTCTTTTAATAGATTAATAAGCGATTTATTATTAATTTCGATAAGACTTCTATCCCCTTTAAATTCCTCGACGGCGTAATATACGATATCCGAAATAATAATACTATTATAAGTAAGATCGATAAAAGTGGTTAGAATAAATAGTAAATTACCTTTATTTTATATATTTTTGTAAATAGATTATAGAGGTTGCTACCTAAATTAATATTTAATGGTATATTAAATCTAAGAAAAGAAAAATTCTAAATAGTAAATTCAACTCTTTTATTTTTATTATCTTTTTTATTTTTCTTTTTTATATTATCCTTTTTATCCTTCTTATTTATATTTATTTCTTACCTCCACTCCTTATATTACGTTTTTAAACTATAAGTCGTATATAAGATTAAAATCGTTAGAAGGTACTAGAATACTGTATTAATACCCTATTGCCTGCGGGCAAATAAGGATATAATCCGAGCCGAGGCGGGTAAATAAATATAGTACTATATATAATATAAGGCTTCCCCTTTTATCGTCCTTCTTTTTTTTCTTTTTTTTTCTCCTATAGTTAATACGGTTATTAATTTAGAATAAAACTTTAACCCAACGGAAGGATAAACTAGTACTATATCCTTTACCTACTACCTACGGGCAAATAAGTTATAATATAGGTAGAGGCGGGTAAATAGTATATTCCCTACTTAATTATAGGAAACAAAGAAAGATAAAAGGAATAAAGTAGAAATCTTTCTTTTATTTAAGTTATCTCTTTTATTCTAATATCAACCCCCTTTATTTATTTAAGTAAAACCGATTAATATAATAAAAGCGTAATAATCGAATTTAATAAGACGGTTTGTAATAATAAAAAATTAATAATTAAATGGATTAATAAAGAATTATATAAAGAGGTAGGAAATAAAAACAATAAAGTATTATTAATTATAAATACGGCCGGCTTTTATAAAATAAAAAATATCTTCGATACCTTCGATAAATATAGTATTAACCGAGCTTTAATCTTTAGCGGCCTTACTCTATTATTATAACCCTTCGATATTTATATTAATAAATCTATTAAGGCCTACCTTTTCAAAGTATGAAATGAATATATTAAATAATAATAAACGGTTAATAATAATTTCGATAAGTAGATTCCCATTAAGAAGAGGATTATATTTACCTATATTATTATACGGGCTATTAACCTTTTAAAAGCTAAATATTCCAATTTAGTAACGAAATCTTTTATCGATTATAATTTATCCATTTACTCTAATAGTTTAAAAAATTAAAAAATTAAAATAAAAGGTATTAATTAGAAGGATATCGACTTTTTTAGGTATTAAAATACTAATAATACCTAAATTATTAATAATTACTTTAAATTAGGGCCGGAAGGGGAAACTGCTATTAACAAATTAAATATAATTTATAATAATTATACTATACTTTAATTAAAGGCCTTCTATAAACAGTCACGTGTTATAAATTTTAATTAGTAAAAAAAGGTTAAACTTATTATTAAATTTAAAATAATTAATAATAAAGCTCTTATTATAACCGAGATAAAAATAAATAATAAGGAGGTCGATATTAAAGAGGAAGAAAAAAACTCAAAAACGCCAATTTTATTCCATTAACATTATTACCAATATTAATCCAATTTGTTTTTAATAACGATAATCTTTTTTACATACATAAATACTTTATCTTCTTACTACTTTTTCTTAATACCTTATATATTATAATTTTATTATCGCCTTCCTTTTGATTTTATGCAGTATTTAATTAAATAATTCTTATTTAAAATATATTCTTTAATAATATCCCTTTACTATTTTCGAATCTAATTAAAATAATAGCCACCGCTTTTAAAAGATAAACTAATAATATATATAAATTTAGGGAAAGAAGGTTGCCAGTAGATAATATTATATTCGTCGTTAATAGTAAATACCTTAGTATCTTCAAAGTCTTTTATCATATTTATAAGGAAAAAAAGGATAGAAAATTAAATCTAATTAGTAATATCAATTATATAGATTTTTACATACAAATAATATCAATAGTTCTAAGGTTAATACAAAATATAGTTTTATAGGGGGGGGGTTGAAAATATCGTCGTTTTAATAGCTAGTATTATTAGTAAATATATAAAAAGGATAAAACGATGAAATTAATAAGAATTAGAAAGTTGGCAGTCTCTAGAACCCCCTCTTTTACTAAGGAATTAGGCACCCCTATATACCCCTTATATAGACCCCTTATATAGCCACGTTCATATACCCACTCTGGCTTGTAGATGGGGGCCGACTTTACTATAAGAAGGCTAGCCTAAAAACGAGTAAAACCAAATCGACCGAGAAAAAGCAGTATCTCAAACCGACCTTTCAGACACGGGCTGGGCAATTGTCGAGATGGACCGCGATTGATCTACTTTCGGGTGCGATTGCCGTTGCGAAAAATGGGCAGATTGAACTCCACCATCAGCCATTTCATCTACAGATACATTACATGTCACGGCAGGCGCGGTACCCGTACATATTACATACGTATTTATGCTCTCGAGCTGTAACGTACGTACAGTACGTACCGCATCGGTTGTTGAACTGCCCGGGATCTTACATCAACAACGACCGATCGAAATATCACGACTCCTTCATTGGGCCAAGCGCTGTCTCGTCTATCTCGCCGTTACATTTGGTTGGGGCGGTTCTCTCATTATTTCTGGTTGATCTATCGCCAACCTCCAATCCCGTCCTTGAGGTAAGTACGCTACACTACGCTAAAACACTCGGGCTCCTGCCCCAAGATTCTGGATAACCAATTTCAACTCTCAACGGCCATGATCAGCCGCGGGCCTCAAGGCAACCATCAAACCCCACTCCGACGAAGACCCAAGACATTAGCCAACGGCGAAAGTGGAAGTGACCTGCCTTGTTGCAACCGTCGTAGCTTCCATGAAGTTCGCTTTGCGGAGTCGACGGCCTTTGACCTTTCCACAAGCGCTTCTTTCGTCTCCGCCGATCGTATCGGTGACGCGTCAATACCTTTCACAAGGGGCAGGAGCTGACACAGTAGGCAACTTTCAGGGCAAGTGGAAGGCAGGGCGGATTGAAAAAGGGATTCAACGCATGAAGGAGCTCCACAGCGAAATCGAGCGAAACTGGCTGCCCGACAAGAGGAAGTCCAGTTCCCGTCCCACTCCCCGGCCGTTCGTGAGTCTGGCATCTTCACCTCACCGTCTCTTCACCACTGCAACAACGCTAATGCGAACTGCTCCTACGGGCTGCAACCTTGGCATTTTGGATGATCGAGATGGAGGGATCTTGTGCTTGTTGACAGGATCATCGAGATCACGAGGCTTGCGGGCTTGCGGCTCAGTTTTCGAAGGACCAGGCGACTACACGATAGCTACAACACCAATTTCAACTCGGACGATCACTGCACCCACTTAGCGAATGCATCACAAAGTTCACGGCGCTATGGCCCTGATCGGCTCAAACTTTTCATTGAAAAGCGAAATCGGTAGCTGGGTATAGACTAAACCCACTTTTATGCTTAGTCAACACGCCCAGCCGCCCAGCCCAGCCCAGCACACCGTATACAACTGAGGCTATATAATCGATGCCCGCGCATTGCTAGATCTATGTCGTCGTCGTCATTTTTTTACGTAAAAGTATTCAAAGTCATCAATCTAATCAATTATCTACTACTAAGGGTATTAATACTATAGTTGCCAATAATACTACTATCCTCCATATTAGCCCTATTATTACATATACTATACTTGCTACACTTGCTATACTCGCTACCCAAAGTATACATACCTACTCTAATTTTAATACCCGCCGTATAAATGCTGCCCAGAGTACTAGAGAGCCCCTATATACTAGGAGTAAGGTACTAAGGGCGGTCCTATCTACGTTGCTAATATAATCTAGGCCTATAAACTTCCCTACTATTAATTAGATGGGGGAAGGAAATTCCAATTTAGCTAGGAGGGCATTAGTATTAACTATCTAATAGGCGCTAGCACTCTATAACTAAATTGGTTAGAACTAATAAGAGCTGGCATATAGCCGCGAGATAGCTATTACTAAACTAGCGGCTATTACTAAACTTAGGAATAAGGAGATAGGGAGGGCGCTAGAATTCTCTATAAGGGAACTAGAAATTAATAAAAAAGCGAGGGTGAGGGAGTTAGAATTATTTGCGGGGGTATTAGAAAAGGCGCTAAAGTTAAAGCTAGTATAAACCGTGCTATAATAATCTCAGTTATATTATTAGCCGTAATATTAATTGCCTCAGCAACGGCTCGCTACAAATCCTCTTAAATAACGTTGCGGGTACGAAACGCCCTCTATATACCTCCCCTCCTCCCTTCTCTCTAAGTATTTCGCTATATTGCCCGGCGGGGCAGCTCGTCGTAAGAGAGTACACGGCGGTTATCATACTAATCGCAATCAATAAACGCGGTGGCAACGGGCTAAATAGGCTAAGCAAGGCCTTAATTACCCTCGAGATTGCGTAGTTCGAAAACTTCCGGGTTTATAAGGTCTCGTCCCAATACTCTACGTATATAATCAATAAGGTTTAGATCGGGGATAACCGCTTTTCAACGACAGCTAAGTAAAGAAGTAGGGTTTTAAATAGTATAAGTACGCCGCTCAACCTCGGTCAACCCTATACCGCTGTTTAACTTTAATTACTAATACGTATTTATATCTTCTATAGCTAATACTAAAGGTGGATTTATCTATAATAACTTTAATATAAAGTATTTATAGGGTAAACTATACTAAACTATAAATACCTTCTTATAATTAATATTTAAGTCTTAACGACGATCTCTTAACCAATCGTTATAAATATAGCGGTACTAGTACTATATAAGTTTGAGGGTATATAGCGCCACCTATGTAAAAAAAAAAAAAAAAGAAAAAAAGTTAATTTATAAGGGTAATAATAAAAGACTACATTTTTACGTACTTTCAATACCAGATTATTAAATATCCCTACCCTCTTATACTTATATAAGTACGATTACTTCGTTATAGCGCATTGTAATTTGAATACTTCTCTTTAAAAGCGGTAGGTAGAGCGTATATACTCGTATAGTTAATCTAAAGAGGAAAGACGGTTCTTAAGGAGGCGTTTAATAGCTCTATATGCAAATTCGATTTAGTTAATTACCCTAATGCTAAAGTTCCTATATTTTGGAACGGCGTAATTCCTAAACTCGTTAATCTATAGGAGGTAATATTTATAAAAGTAAGCGAGGAGAGTTATAAATAAATAGTTAGCGAAAAAGGTATATAATATATTGTAGAGAGGAAGGGGGTTAATGTACGAATCCATTGTTTAAATTTATAAGTCATTAAATACTATACTTATTTGAAGTCATTATCGTTATCCGCATAAACTACCTATTTCCAAGACGCTTAAAAGCTTTCGTACGTATTTAAATAGAATCGATGAATAGGATTAAAGGCTAGTATATTACGATGGCGTAGAACGATAGCTTCAATTGCCGGCTCGTTAACTACTTTATAAACTTCTTACCTATCGTTAAACTATTAAGTAAGGTAGTTAGCGGCGGCGGTATTATTAACCTCTTCTAGATTATTTTCCTCTAGGTTATTATTAACGTATTCGTTATTATTACCGATATTACTATCGCCAGCTTTATTATTAGCTTTATTGTCGTTAACCGCCGCGGGGCCTCGGTACGATGAGGGATTAGGACTATAGCCATCTAAATCCCAGATAATTAGTATGAGATTTAATAGGTTAGTACCGGGGGCAAGATTATTACTGCTATTACCACTATTAGGGGACGGCTACACCTACTTCTTCTTAATATAGTAGTTTACGTTCTTTATAACGTACTATATATAGAATTGGTATAGTACGTCTAGGTAGGTAGCAATAGCGGCCTTCTTGAATTCTTTATCAAAGTTGGTAATAAGTACTACAGGGTTAGGAATTTCGTAATCCTCTTAGAGCTTCTTTAAGTAATTGAATTACTATTTAAAGTCTTTTTACCTCTCCCTGCTCGAAAGACCAAAGGCGATATTAAAATTATAACTAAATGTATCGATACTAATAACGTTAAAGAGGAGAAGGTTAAAGTGGTTAACCTATAAGGAAAAAAAAGGGGTTAATTAATTAAACCCTATAAGAGCAATTAAGTAAAAGAGCATTTAAATTAGAAAATAATTGAATTAATAAGGGTAATAATACCCTATACATATTATCGACTAGTAAAATATGGGGATTCTTCTTCTATATTTCTATATACTAATCGAAAGTCTAGAATACTCGCGCTACCCTCTATTCATTGAGAAAGAGCGGGTTATAATCGATAAAGTATTCGATGCCATATAAGCTTTTATACTATTCTAGAAAGTCGAGTAGCATCTTCGTCGAAGAATAAGAATTATACTTTATATAGCGAATATACTACTCAATATTCAAAACCTCCTAAGTAATAATAAGGATTCGAAGACTATACAATTCTAATACTAAATTATTACCGTCAATGCGTTAAATAGAAGCAATGTTTTCTACCTCGACTTTAAGATCCAAAGTACCGCTTAAATAATAAATAATCTAATAAGAATTCATTCTAATAATATTAAACAACCTTTCGATAATAATATTATTAGGTTCTTTATAATAGCGACGGATCTATTATTAATAAACAATATTGCTAGCGAAGTTAACGATATCGATATCGTAATTATAATTATTATTAATCTCTTTAGTAAATTACTAATTACTTTACTTTTTGCTCAATATAATTTTTACTTAATAAGGATAATCGAATTGACGTAAAATAATATTTCGAACTCCTTACCTGGTACTACTATTATAAGCGCGACCGTATATACAATAGTAGTTAACACACACAACAAGCTACTCCTTTCCCCTCTTCTTATTTTTTATAATACCGTATAATTAAATTATAAAACTTTATTATACGGCGTATTCTTATAAGGCATCGAATACAGCGACTTTATTATTATAACCCGATAAAGTAAATAATAGTTTCGCTCGTCGTCGGATTAGGGAGGATAAAAGTAAAGGAGTTTATTATTTAATAGTAGCGCGCTCGCTAGAGGATTGCAGTAATTGTATTTTTATTCGCTCCTTACGGGGACGACGGATTAATAATAACTAGATTTTAATAATAGGGGTCGTATTCTTATTGGGGGTAATTATTCGAGACGGACTTCTCGGATTTAAAGGTATTTTGCTAGCGATTCTAATTAAATCCCGTCAACGCTAATTATCTTAGTCGGCTAGGTTGGAAGTCTAATTTATTAGGCGAATAAATAACGTACGGAGAGCGGGCGGGCAATATATTAATAAATACTACGAGGTCGAGGATATTATATTAAATAATAATAAAAACGAAGAATAATCGCTATAAACGGTTATTTAATACTAAGGTAAGGTCTTGCGATAGCTTTATTCAATTGTATAAGATTAACTATCGCTAATAGACAGCGCGACGGTGGCGGCGGTTGGGCAGCGATGTGTACGTTGTATATGGTGTGCTGGGCTGGGCTGGGCAGCTGGGCGTGTTGACTAAGTATAAAAGTGGGTTTAGTCTATTTAGGGACCAGTTTGAGTCTACCTAGCTACCGTTTGCGATTGAAAAGTTGTGAGGGTTACAGGGGGTTTTGGTGCCAAGTTCGATTTTTTTTCTGGACTAACTAGTTTGGGCACTAAAAAACTCAAGAAAACTCGAGAAAATTGCTCAAATTTGAACTAGGGTGTTTAGAAGAGGTACTGACTATTGTAGGCCGTTATACTTTCCTAATTTGTATTGAGATCGATAGATTCTTAGTGTTTTTGACCAGTTTTCTTATTAAAATTGATAAAATTTTAGAAGTAGGGAGTACCTTATTTCTAGTAGAAAAATTGTAAGTTTTCGTGAGTTTTCGTAAGTTTCCTTGCTAAGATGTATAATGTAAGTAGGTTTGCTTTGTTGGTGAATGTTATATCAGTTGAACCGTATTCGAACTTTATATTCTTAGTTATTAAAATTCTAATATATTATAACTGCTATACAATTATATTCGTCGATATCGGTTAATATAAATCTAGGAAGTGCTAATTGAGCTACCTTTGCTTTTATAGTAGTAATTACTATTTATATTATATTTCGTCGTAGGAGAAAGGATCCTAAACCTATATACTATAGCCTAAACTATATTAGAAAATTATCGGATAAAATCTATCACAGTTCAATAGTATAATGTTAATAATTCTTTCGTAGAGATTGACCTACCTTTAATACCCTATTAAAATAGCTTTAAAATAATACCAATTATTTAGAGCCTAATTGATATTAATTAATATATTAGAAATTAATGTTCTTCTTATATATTTTAGCCTATTATTAAAATTAGTGAACTACTTTATATTATTTCTAAATTAATTAAAGTTTAGTATTAAAGATTATAAATAATTTATTGCTTATCTAAAAATATTTATATACTACGTATATTATACTACTACCGGATAATTATTTAGACCCTACTATTGAATTGAATCCTAGTTTAAATGTATTTAATAGTTATATTAGTGCTATCGATAGTACTTATATTATCGCGTATATTAAGAAGAAGGATTAGTTTCGATAGTATGATTGTAAGGGATAAGTAATTTAAAATATATTTGCGGCTGTAAAATTTAATTATTCTTTTATATACGTATTAGCGGGTATAAAGAGGTCGATTAACGATATTT